TACAGTGGAGTGAAATCAAAGCAGAGGATAGTGGACGATACAGGTGCTACACCAAAGGGACCTGCACTGACCAGGCTATCACTGTGGAAATAGAGGTCATCACATCGGGTGAGAACTTTTACACTTCCAAAAATACATCAACCCATTTTCAGAATCACATACAACACAGTCCATCAAGTCAGCATTTTGTCATACAGATGAATTCGCCTGGGCCAAGATCTTTGCAGCTTTTGCAGTGTCTGCAGAAGTTATCCTGACGGCCCATCTGGTGTATTTGTGCTACAGAAAAGGATGTAAGATCATGGATTCTGCTAACAGAGTCCATGAAAAGTAATGCACAATTTTATGTATAAAATGAAACATGATGAAACAGCAAAACATAGCAAATCTCTTTCATTAGCAGTATCTGGTCTTTTGTAGGGTTACATCCAGAAGGGCTGCGGTGATAAGGCCAATCGCTCAAGGTCTTTCTCAATTGATATTTTATTTTACTAAAATGCAATAATATATGTACAGTATATACACTAATTGTCAAAAGTTTGGAATAATTAAAAAAAATTGTTTTTGAAAGACGTCTCTTATGCAGTATACTTATACAGTAAAACATTAATATTGTGAAATATTAAGGGCAAGTTATTTATTTTTCATTGGCACAAATTAAAAAATATAGATGTGAATCATTACCCTATTTTTTCAATTGGATGAATTAAACTTTTTTTTTCAGTGTATTACATTACTTTTAAAACTTAAATATTATTACATTAACTATTACATGGACTTTTTCTCTTTTAATATATTTTCAAATTTAATTTATTCCTGTGATGGCAACTGAATTAATTCATGAATTCATTACTCCAGTGTTTAGTGTCACATGATCCTTCGAAATCATTCTAATCTGATGATTTGCTACTTAAGAAAAATGTCTTATTATTATCAATGTTAAAAACTCTTTTTGCTGTTTAATATTTTTGTGGAAACCGAGATACACTACCATTCAAATTCTGGGGTCAGTAAAAATAAATAAATTAATAATTTTGTTCAATAAGGATCTATTAAAATGATCAAAAGTAACAGTACATTAACATCAAAGTTACACAAGGTTTCTATTCCAAATAAACGCTGTTTAATTTTTAATTGCATGATCTAGGCATCACAGAATCCTGAGAAAATATGTATAATGGTTTGTACAAATATAGCACAACTCTTTTCAACATTGATAATAATAAGAAATGTTTCTTGAGCAGCAAATCAGTATATTAGAATGATTTCTGAAGGATCATGTGACACTAAAGACAGCATTATGGTGCTGAAAACTCAGCTTTGCCATAACGGGAATAAATTATATTTTAAAATATATTAAAATACAAAAGATTTTAAATTCCAATATTTCACAATATTACTGGTTTACTATATTTTGACAAAAAAAATGCAGCCTTCATGAGAATTACATACTATACTCCTTTTATTAACATGAAAAAAACAACCCCAAACTTTTGAGCAATAGTTTATCTGAATATGGTCATCTGAATGGTAGTATCATTCAATACTTAATTGATTCACAAAACATTTTATTTTTTTAATTTAATCCCAGACAGTCAGAGCGATCATGAAGTCCCTTATGCTGACATTGTGATCTCCGTGAGAGGATCCAGCAATCCGGCTCTATCTGACACCTTTAACCAGACTTCAAAAAAACAAAGACCGGTGAGAATTAATATTATAAATATATACAATTATTTAAGTATTTTTTACAGGTTTGATATCATGGAACCAGATGTGTGACCGTGTGATTTGTGCTTTGCATGGAGGGACGAGGCCAGAGCAGGGCTACTGCATGCTTCAGCTGACAGACTGCACATCCACTCTAAAGAGGTCACTAGGAAATTAAGCACAATGTCTGAATATGCTGTAATTACCTACTCCTGTGAGGCTCTTAGTTAGTTACTTCAAAAACTGTATATCTGATTAAACAATAGAAGGCAAAATGTGAAAATTGTGAATAGCTGTCTGCCTAATTTCTGTTGTCTGCAATTAAAAACTCAAATTTTTAATGCATGTGTGGACTTGTATGTTTGTTGCTTTTATAGTCTTGAAGGAAATAATTACTGCATTACATTTGCTTTGCAGCTCATAAAAACATTTTTACTGTGTCAGCTGCTTTGCTGTTTTTGACCAGGAAGGTCTAGGCTATATGACTTAAAAGAATGGTTTTAAGTAATTTATAATATGTCTGAAGTCCAATTTCACAGTTAAAGGGGGAACATGCCCCAAACCAGCCTATATACCTTGTTTGTTTACTTATTGCAGGGAGGCCTACTGTAGTACTGATTAAAGGTTAGAAATTCCTTGCAATTTGTTCACACCTCACACATTTAGCGAGCTTTGGATTCTGAAAGGTGGTTATTTATATGGCCAAAAACATGATCATATTTAACATATTCACCTATACTTCTGTATATTGTTACTGTTTTGAAAAACTGTCTTTACCTGCAGTATCGGCTGCACAGGTTGTTGAACTGTATCATTGACAAAAGACAGGATTGCATTTGCAGGCAATTGATTTTTTGGGAAATATCCACTTAATCCAGCTTTCTTTTTGTTATTTGTTATTTAGTATTATTAGCCTATATCATATTACTGTTTTAAACAGCGCCCAACAATCCGTGTATCATTCGATCATTCGTTTTTTTATTTCATATTGAAAGTAATTAGAAAACGGCTCCTTTTTCGTGTTTTTGTTTTTTTCCCAAAAAACGAAAAACGAGAATTCAGCTTAAATTTTAGTTTTTCGTTCATGGGTGGAAAAATTAATAAACAGCTTGAATATTTGATTTCTACACGTGGGCGGGAATTAAATGCCCCTTTCTGCTGATTGGTCAGCCAAAGATCAAACCGTGCCATCATCAGTTCTTCTGCAGTATCACGCAACAGAATAATAGTCCTCCACTGCTGCAGTTGTACGGATTAATAACCCATTTTATTGCAACTGCATTTCATATTTTTCTCATCAAACAGACTTATGAATAGCTCAACACAACTCGTACCAGGGCAGAGGGCTTTCTTCTGTGTAGACCAGCGGTTCTTAAAGTGATAGGGGGTCCGCAAAATAATTTGCTATAGCCTAAAGTATTTCCAGACTGTAAAGTGTTTTTTTTTTTTATGATACATAGATACTGTGATTTACTCCAAAGTGATTTATATGATGCATTTAACGTCAAATAATCTAAATGAAGCCTTTTAAAAGACGAGTATTCCCTGTGGTTTATATTTGTGGCACGCGCCAGAAAGATGCTCAAGGAGACCAATATTCACCTTAATGTTGTTCTAAAGGCTTATTACTTAATAACACAAAAATGTCCTGCTCGCACTTGCCAATTTAATGGCAGATAATGGTCTGTGACTTTATTTTAATTTTGTTTTTGTTTTTTTGAAGCGGACGCATATCTGTCGTAAAATAATCCTACGCGCACAAGTGCATATCCTTTTGAGATATCAATTATAATCAATTTTAATAAAACACAAGACTACGTTATATAACTCTAACAGTAGGCTATTTAATATATGTTGTTCTCCAGTTGTCAGTCAGAATGACAGTTCTTGCGTGAACATAGGCCTATATATACCCAAGCCAATTTATTATTCTTTCCTTTTTGTCTTAGTATTTAAAATATTTATTTTGAAACAAATTAATTAATTCCGCCCATGTATAGAAATCGAATATTCAAGCTGTTTATTCATTTTTTGACCCAAGAACGAAAAACGAAAATTTAAGCTGAATTCTCGTTTTCAGTGTTTTGGAAAAAAACGAAAATATGAAAAAGGAGCCGTTTTCTAATTTTTCTACTTTCAATATGAAATCAAAAAACAAATGATCGAATGATACACGGATTCCCAACGTCTCAATGCGTGAGAATTTTTAGAATGATCCAGACTGGATCGTGAATTGTTTGACCGATTGACTCACGCCGAATTGCAAAGAACTGACAGAAAACGAGATGATTTAAAGGGGTCATATGATGCTTTTTTAAAGATCATTATTTTGTGTATTTGGTGTAACAGAATATGTTGACATGCTTTAATGTTCAAAAAACACATTATTTTTCAAATACTGTACATTATTGTAGGTCCTCTATGCCCCGCCTCTCTCAAACGCTTCGTTTTCTACAAAGTCCCTCCTTCCGACAAGCGCAGTCTGCTCTGATTGGCCAGCTGACCCAGTGCATTGTGATTGGCCGAACACCACAAGCACTCGTCGGAAATGTAACGCCCCTTACCATAATCACGAGCTTCATCTTTCAAAATAAATGTAAAGACAGTAAATGAGTCTTAACTTTGATAAAGAATATCTCTTTGGTTTTGAGACTTTAGTCTTTGCAACTTCAGGGATCTTATCTATGCACAATCAGCTTGTAACACTCCAAAGAGAAAGGAAAACTTGAAATCGCATCATATGACCCCTCATATGATGTTTCTCAGGTCAGTTTACCGTAATTTTGATCGTAAAACGAGTCTAGCTAATGACCTCTTCGATAGCATGCAGTTATGGCTTCATTTGTTTGTAGTTATGCAAATATGAAATTAAACTTTTATATATAGCAACATTAAGGATACAGAATAGCCTACTTAGCATTTCTATAGGCTATAAAAAGGCTGCTCCCAAAGTCACTGGACCTTAACGGTTTTTTTAATATATATTTGGCAACAAAATAAAATAAATAAAATCTCTAGACCACTTTAAATATTTACTTGATACGGATCGTGTGCGCCAATACTAATCAAATTAAATTACCCTCCCTGAGAGACCAGATACAGTGGAAAAAAAGTTCTAGCAAAAATACCTACCATTTTATATTTCATGTGTAAATACACAAAATTGAAATAAAGTAAATACTGGCGTATCCTACTAACGTTTTGCCTTTTGAACATGACAAGTCATAACGTTTTGACCCTCTCCGCTATCTGTAGTTGGAACCACGTTTCGGTTGCATAGCAACGGTTGACAACATTAGTCTCGTTTTGAACGGTAAGAAACATCACACCAGTACACCTGGCTAAATTATTAAATGTATATTGACTACCGATAACAAAGCAAGAACATATGGGCTTGATAGAACAAGTGTTCCAATATGTCTTTAATTTTACTGAGGAAAAAAGCCAGTTTTTCTTTCATTTAGATGATTTTTAGCACGACATATGTATTGTCATAATGTCACTATATGTGTATATAATGCAGTAAGGCGAAACATCTTAATGAGAAAATCATTGCATTTAATTATTTTTCTGATTATGTGGAAAACATTAGTCTACAACACCATTAACGTTTAATGAACACGTCTTTTCCCTAATTAAACTCAGACCTGAGAGCTGTATAAGATGTCTGTTCCCTTCTCCAACACAAACCTGCGCATCCCTAGAGGCTTTGTGAATTTATTGGAGGGTCTTGCTAAAGAGGTGTTGAGAGACCAGCCTGAGGACATCCCTACCTTTGCTGCTCTCTACTTCACAAAGCTTCTTAAAGCCAGAGAGGGTAAATGAGATGCTTTCCTTTGATCCTGATGTTTAATATTTTTTGATGACATATGAATTACTCATATATGAGTTAGTCACTTTATGCTTATGCAGTATGCCTTTGTCCAAGCCAAGGCAAAATTGAGTTTGTTTGCAAGAGCTAGTATTATTAGATCAACTATATTGTCGATGCATGCTAGAAAATAATGAATGTACAAACGAATGCATGTTTTGTTTCAGAAAGTGGCCTAGACCCAGCAGAGTGGGGTGCAAAGTTGGAAGACAGGTTCTACAATAATCACTCATTTAAGGTATTACAAAAAAAAAACACTCTTTGAACCTTAAGATTATACTAGTTCCTTCTAACGTGGTGTTTGTTCTTCTCAAAACAGGGCACAGCAATGCAAGGAAACAACATTTCACCAAAAATAAATACAAGGTCTGTGAATAAGGAAGTGTGATTTTACTCTTTCACTCCTCCTAACAGTTTTCCAGATGAGAGAAACAGTCAAGACTGAAGTGAAGCAGTGTGAGATTTTAGATGAAAATTTAGACAATAAAACTGAAAATGACTCATAGGATTGCCTGCAGTTTTGGTATGATTTCCTTGATTCTGGTTGTACGTTCTTGCAGCGCAGCAGTTTTATAGCAGGATGAACCTTGGCGGGTGGCTCTCTGTTTCTAAGGCAGGGCTTCGATCATTTGATCAAGCAGAGGGCGGCTTTCAGAGGATTGATTGTAGTGTCAGAGCACAGATATCCATCTGGGTTGTACATTAGGATTCATTTATTACTCCTGTTGTAGTTGTTTGTGCTTTTATTTACTTACATTATCAATCACTGTTGCATATATAAAATTATCCTTGCTTTCTTACATGTCAATTTTCAGAAACAACGCTGGCCGCTCTGAAACTTTTGGAGACAATGAAACCATAAGCTCCCCATTAAAAGACCTCAACACTAATAATTCAGAGGACACTGAAGTAAAGCAAAAATATGAGTTAGATAAGAAGCTCGATGAGGAATCCGGTGAGATGGAACATGGGCCTGATGTGGATATTCCCTATGTGAATACAGCAGATGTTAACATATGTGCTCAAGAGCTAAAAGACCCCAGCCGGATTCCAGAGCAAACATCAGAGGTACTGAAGGATGATGAGGTTGTAAAAGAAGCTGTAGATATTGATATCTGCAGATCAGAACTTGAGCCTACACCTTTGCCTTCCTTTGGTGGTCTCGCAAATGTGGATGTATGTGCTGAAGAGATAAACCGCCCGTCTGAACCTACTGAGAACAACAGAGACTTGGAAAGCCCAAAATTGAATGAAGGAGAGTTTGAAACACAAGATGAATCTTTTGTTGAAACCCCTTCACATTTTGAGCAGGATGTAGGCAAGCAAGCAAATGAAATGTCTGATGATGCTGATGATGATGATGATGATGGCCATACTGAAGATGCTGAACAGGGAATTTTAGAAATGGCTGATCATTTATTAGAAGACACTGCTCCAGAAGAGAAGAGCACTGAGCAGATTTATGTGGAGGAATCAACTGAAAGTACTATTGAAAATGCAGTTGAAGTAGAGCAGGAATCAGAGGAACATACTGAAGAAAAGGATGACTTACCAGACAATGAAAACCAGGAAGAGACTAATCATGACTACAGCAGCACCAATGACTTTGTAGAAGATGCAGCCGATTCCACATCTGATATCAATAGTAGATCATTGATGGAAATGAAAGACACATACATTGACTACAGTGATGAGACATATGACAGTAAAAGCGAAGTCATAGATGTTCTAGATGAAGTGCACCATCACTGTTCTACTCATACAGGTGAGCATGAAGCTGAGAACAGCACTGATGAACAGAACACCTCTAAAATTATGGATGCAATGAAGGAGGAAACCCCAAAGCTAGTTAACGAAGTCACAGAGGACATGATAAGCAATGAGATTTTAAATACTGATGCAGTGGATGCTTCTGAGAAAGATCTAAACACAGAGAACGTAAATGAAGGGAGTGATCTTGACAGTGATGCTGAAGAGATGGATCTGGACATTTCGAACATGCCTCAGCAAAATATGGTAAAAACTGAAGATGAAGAGAATGATTTAACCCATGATACTGAACCAAAGGAAGATATTTTGCCTTCTGAAGCTGATCCCAGGCCTTTAGAAGGAGAAACAGAGGTTATCAGTGAAGAACATCTTACAGAGTCACAAGAACAGACTGAAAACACTGAGAATGAAGGAGATCAAGAGGATCAGTTGGAGGAGCAAAGGGATAAAAGTCAGGAATCGACACTTGAAAGTGAGAACCAGGAAAATCCTGACAGCACAGAACAAAAGGTAAGGGATTTTTGTTACTTTCTTTTCTTTTTTTTCACCACCTTTTCATTTTGTAAACAAAAATATGGTATTTGTATAAAATAAATTGTGAAATATATATATATATGTATACGTATATATATATATTAAATAGAAGCCACATCCTAGGGCCATGCAAATAGTCATTTTTTTAATTGATTTTTTATTGATTTTTGTTTTTATTTTGGCTTCCCATGTTTATGAAAAAATATAATTTTTATTATTATATTTGTTTATTTTAGTTTTATTATTTCACCACCTTTTCATTTTGTAAACAAAAATATGGTATTTGTATAAAATAAATTGTGAAATATAAATTTAATATGTATACGTATATATATATATATATATTAAATAGAAGCCACATCCTAGGGCCATGCAAATAGTCATTTTTTTTATTGATTTTTTATTGATTTTTGTTTTTATTTTGGCTTCCCATGTTTATGAAAAAATATAATTTTTATTATTATATTTGTTTATTTTAGTTTTATTATTTGTACATTTATTTTGTTTTTCGTGTATTACAATTGAAGTTCATGGAAAGCCACTCAAAAAAAATGCAATAAATCAATAAATGCAAGACGTTTCCAAAAATCTGTGAGTAATCATGTTAAATAATTGTGATGTCAATATTGAGCAAAATAATTGTGATTATGATTTTTGCCATAATCAAACAGCCCTACCCCATCCTTATCTGCAGACTATTCCTTTTATTGTCCCAAGTTAGTAAGTAAAAATAAAATCAAGGACTTTTCAGATCAACAGTATGGCTCTGTGTCTCTCTGGAGAACAGTAGTGATTGAAGATGTCCTGAAATAGTCCAGCTGGTGAGTGCAAGACTGCGAGAGGGTCAAAAAAGCGAAAAACTATACATACATCCTATATCATATAAACACTATGCATAGACCCAAACAAATGATTGCAACATTTCATAAAGCGATATTCAGAAAGGTTTAGATCTTTTAAACCAAGAGGTCAGAAGAATATCTATATGCTTCTTTAAAAGGGTTCGAATGAGACCGATTTGGTGGTGTTTCCATGGAAACATTTTACCGACCATTTATCTGAGGGAGAAACTGATCTAGATTTTGGAGTTGTGTGATATTTCCAAAGAAACAGAATATGTACGCTATTAGCTGCTTCGCTTTTCAATCCTCGTCCAAAGTGGAGTGTTTCTGTAGGGGTTAATTAGAGACACACACTTAAAGCAAAGCTCTCTTCTTCTCGCTCCAATGTAGGTCATCTAACTTGACCTATATCAACTCTGTCCAATTACTTTATACGCTGTAGGAGGAGCAAGGGAATCGTGTAAGTGCTATTTTCAGGAACAATATTCATGGCTATCATCAATCTATGGCACGACTGTAAAGTCACCTCATCTTCTTCTTGGAAACTCAGTGTTTTAACCCTTCGGTGCTCTGTGAACCGACTTCATTAGCTCCCAGCCTTACACCTCCAGCAGATGCCAAGAAAAGAGAACTGATACCATTACAGCACCGAGCTGCATCTTCTCTCTTTAATCTTGGTAGGGTAGGAGCCAGGAGATGCAGGAGTGTTCCAGAGAAATAAAGGGCAATAGATTTACTGTCTGTTTGTCTTATACTCTACAGTATATTGCCACAGGGTGGAGGAGGCACGGACTGTGTGGGACTGACTGAGATGTGGGGAGCTGTTTCTAGTATTTTCGTAGCTTATGATGATAGCCCTCAGGAATATTTTGTACCGTGAATTTTTAAAGTTATGTTATATAATTGGTTTGGACCATGGTATGTCTCTTTTCAATCATTCTCTCCACTGAAAATCAAGTATCTCTGGTCCTATTTGTAAGAGGGGTCAGGAAAATGAGAATAATGGCGGTGTAAACGTCAGCATTAAACAAAATATTTTCAAAGAGCTGAGTGACAGTGTCAGAGTGATGATGCTCGCGAGTCGCGCGCTTTCTCTCTCCACTCTGTCTCTATCTCTGTCCTCCCACCCTAAGACTCTGAATTCTATATTATTGAAGGATAGTTGCAGGAGAGGCGTATTCGTCCAAGGCATTTTGCCCTGTGAGGAAGGTTTACGCTCGGTTGCACTTGCACAAGACGAGATCACGTTTATAAGCGTCATGGATTGTCATATCGTAAGTATAGACCACTTTAATCGTTGTTTTGTTTTTTTGATATTGAATGTATAGAATTCATAAATATATTCAGCTAAATTGTATCGGTTTGATAATAAATTGAAACATACTTTAACTTTCTCTTTAGGCTACTGATTTAGGACCGAGAAAAGCTGGACTTGTTTGCAAATGCTTGTTTTTGTATTTCGAAACTTGATGTCGGCGGTAAATTCCATGTCCAGTAAATTTGGGAACTTTTTATGGGTATATGTCCTTAGATCAATATTTTGTGCTCCTCATCATTTCATACTTTTTAACCGTTGACTCTTTATTCCTATGCAAATGAGTAAGCTTTCTACAGTTTATGCTTAAGCCATTAGGCTTCAAATGATCCCCAAATATTATTCTATATTATTAATATTATTAGTATTAATTAGATTATTAAAATATAAAATCTACAAACTGTAAATAATAGAAACTTCAAAAATGCGTACCGTCTCAGTGAATGAAAATTAATAATAAGTAAGGTGGACTCTTGGTGGCGCTATATAGGCAACAGCATATATATATATATATATTCTTTATTTTTATTTATTAAACAATATGTTGATTAATAACTTAAACATGGTCGCCTAAAGCCAATGAAGAATATAGGGCGTGGCTATAATCTCTGAATGGATTAAGGAATTTTGGTAAATGTATGTATTTTTACTTCTTGTATTAGATGTTTGGTTTTAGCTGGGTATATGAGGACATATAGGCAACAGCATATATATATATATTCTTTATTTATTTATTAAACAATATGTTGATTAATAACTTAAACATGGTCGCCTAAAGCCAATGAAGAATATAGGGCGTGGCTATAATCTCTGAATGGATTAAGGAATTTTGGTAAATGTATGTATTTTTACTTCTTGTATTAGATGTTTGGTTTTAGCTGGGTATATGAGGACATTTCCATATTTAAAAAGTCAGTCAGCTTTCAGCAGTCATTTGTGGCCAATTGCCACAAAACTTTTTTGGCAAGGGTCTGAAAAAGCATGCAAAGTGGTATTATAATAGAGAACAAATGTATATAAAATGAATCTAGTTATTGTGCATAAATTGGTGTTAACAAATGCCAGCTCTCGTTTTAAAATATGAACAAATATGTGAGCTTATGGGCTGAAGGTCCTTTTGCTGGTACCCCAAAATTATTTCTACTTGCTGTTTGTTTGTTACGCATATGCAAAAGGATTGGGCAAACATATCATTGAAATGGACTGGTATAGAGTAGACATGGGAAAGGCTTGTGACAGCGCAGTTTCATTAGAGGTGATCCATGGGTAAGCATGTACTAAGCCTCAGAGGCAGCTGTAAAATGAACAGATGCTTATTTATAGAGGAATTATGGAACGCCTCTGCCTGTGGCCACATATGAGATATGTTGGCAAAATGTTTGGTTAATATGAAAAGGAGGCTGATTCTTAGTTCAAAAGTGGGTGGACATGCTCCTACCAGGGTTTTACAATGGACTTCTGCTCATCACCCTCACACAAGCAGTTTAAAGACTGCCAACCAGCCTCTGCTGAGCCATTTTACATATGCTAAGTTGTTGTGGTGGGAGAAAGCATGTGGTTTCACAGCTTCAGGAAGACTTAATGAGACAAATAACATCACATTCCACCACACACACTGCTTGATGATGTGTGCTGACATGCTTCACAGAGCACAGGAAGCTGGTCACAGTTGGTCTTTGTAGCATCTGGGTGGTTATGTATTTGAAATCATTGCATTTATGTTTCGGTTCATTTTATTTTCATAGGTTCAGGTATTAGGTTTCTTACACTCTTAAAAATAAATGTTCTTTATGGCTCTTTGAAGAACTTTTAACATCCATGGAACCTTTCCATTTCACATTAGGTCCTTTATAGTGGAAAAAGGTTCTTTAGATGTTCTTCACACTAAGAAAAATTGGTTCTTTTTGGAACTGTTCACTGAAAGGTTCCTATGGGAACCCAAAATCGTTCTTGCTGCGAAAACCCCTTTATTTGTAAGAGTGTAATGGAGAAGAGGAGCATTCAGTTGGAAAGACACAGTTTCTGTGGAGCTGATGGATAATGACTCATTGCAAGGGGGCTTAAATGGACAGGAGATGCTAAACCCACTGTGGTGGTATACAAGAACTTAGAGCAGGGTTCCTCAAATCTTGCCCTGGAGGGCCAATGTGCTACAGAATTGATCTCCAACCCTGATCAAACTCACCTACCTGTGATTTTTCTAATGATACTGAAGACATTGATTAGCATGCTCAGGTGTGTTTGATTAGGGTTAAAGCTAAACTCTGCAGGAAAGTGAATCTCGTGGGCCAGATTTGAGGAACCCTGACTTAGAGGATAGTCTGAATCACTCTAAGCAAGAGTGAAATCAATATGAAGTACACACAGTGTCTGTTTTGCTAAATTTATCACTTATAATTCATCATTCAGGAGGAATGCAACCAGCCACAAGAGGAAGAGGACATCATGGACATCCCATTGGATGACCCAGAGGCCAATAAGGCAGCCGCCAAAATCCAGGCCGGCTTCCGTGGTCATATGACCCGGAAGAAGATGAAACCCGGTGAAAAGCCCAATGAGGAGGTGAGCAGCAGTGGTGAGGCCCTCAACGGCAGCCAAGGGGACTCAGGTTAGTCACTGTCCCCAACAGTCATAGTCAAGAGCTAGACTTAACACCCATCCCACATGGTGCAGAGGCCGCCAGCTATTTTGATCCAATTCGATTTGGCAAGACATTCAAAAACCCTCACAAATCCTACAGAATTTGGCTTCGAGATTTGAAGTAAACAGCCAGAGCTTTGAACTTTAATGAGAGTTCAAGAGCGTGTTGATTCGCTATCTTTCTGTACTGTGTACCAAAGATTTTGAATAAAAAAAGCAGGAAATATTGCGCCCATTATAGTAAGTGAGCCACAAAAGAACTCATATTAAACTCAAATCAAATAAAAATCCATCAATTATGTTTAATGAGTCATGTCTTTATTCTGAGTAAACATAATAAGACATGCTCAAGGGTGCATTTTAATTACTCAATGAGTGCTTTGGAAAATTATTTTCTTAATTAAGTAATTATTAATGAGCACATCTATCATTCTTAAAAGATTGCAGCCATATTAAAAGGCCATTCACCGATTTATAGACAGCCAACGGAGTCCACAGAGTCGCTCTGTAGTCTCTAATATCTCAGTTTGTTGAGACACAGATCTCTCAAATCTAATTTCTTTTGTGGGTGGTTTAAGCCTCCACAATTCCAGGACTCAATATTAAAGCCTCTCGCAGATTTATCCCCCCTTTCAATTTTCTTTCGGGTGATGTGTTTTGTTCTGCACAAAATTGCCTCGTTTTCTAGAGATGCTGGATAAACAGTTTCCCCCAACTCAGTATGTATGCAAATGGTTCTCGAGCTGTTGATCTCCGGAGATTCTACTTTGAAGCAACGAATAGGCCAGCGTTGACGGAAAGACCATAACGTTAATGTTCTCACACCAAAGCCTCCATTTGAACTACCTTTATTGGTGTCGTCCTTTGAGGACGAACCGAGCAGATCTGGTCATTTGATGCAGAAAGTGGGGCAAGCAATGAGAATGAAGGTGTCCTTCCAACCTCCAGCCCAGGCCCAAATAGCTCTCCTTCAGCTGTGCCGCTCCACTCAACCCCACCTCTGTGCCGAATTTAGGCCTTTCCCAAGCAACATCAACCCAGTTCTCGGTTGCTAAGCATTTTATGTATGGAAGTGTTATTTTTATTCTCAGGTGCATCTGCATCGCTGAAACGAGGCTGTGCTCCGTTTTTACTTGGACAAAAATAAAAGACCGTCTATGATCAACTCATATTCTGGCAAAACCGATCAACAAGTAATGCTCTGTCGCATACAGTATATTTTGTGAAGAATGCAAATGTAGCTATCAAGCACTGCAAAATACTATTTTCTTACTCATTGTTTTTGTCGTGTTCCAGCACAAATATCTAAACATTCTTAAATCAAGGGCTTAAGATATTAAGTCTTATTTTATGAAAAAATTTATCAAAATAAAATGAGTTTATGCCTTAAACAGTGTCATTTTAGTGTCATTGATATACTATTATAGTTTTTGATAATTGATAATATTTTAAATTAGATGTTATTATATTTTCTGTTTTTATTTTAATCTATTTAAAGTTGTAGTACATTTTTGTTTTAATATATATATATATATATATATATACAGTATATATATATATGTGTGTGTCTATATAGTTTTTATCTTATTGTTTTAGTTTTTGGTTTATTTAGTTTTAGTTATTTTAGTACTTCAAAGAAAATGAACTTTTTTAATATTATTTCAGTTAATGTTTCTTTTATTTCAAGTAATAAAAAAGTTTTTATAGTTTTATTTAGTTTCCTAAGAATTTGATTTATTTTTCATACCCCTTTGACAGATATTTGTTCTTGATATTTTTCATGAATTTGTTTTATATTTGTAATGGAAATCAAAACAAAAATAGCAAGTAAGAATTTTTTTTTTTTTTTTTGCAGTGGGTGATGTTACATCATCGCCTTGTCACTTAGTAGTTTAGTTGACTAGACAGCTGTTTGTTTCCAAACCGAAGTGCAGCAAATCTAAAAAAAAGCATATTTCACAAACAGGGGGAACAGACGGAGTAGAGACAGACGCCACATCTGGACCAGAGCAGTGAAGACCCTTCTCAAGGTGGACGGCTTATAGGACGCTTTCTCCAGGGATTTTTTTTGTGTCCAAAAAAAGTAGTAAAACTAGGCTGGATATGTCATCTGATGTGTGAACTCTTTCTCTATTTTCTGCTTCTTATCCAGTCCGGGTGAATATCTGCTCCAGCATGCTTTTGCATCCCACAAAAGGCATCTGTATACTGTATATCTGATTTTTGTATAAATCTGAGAACGGACGGTGTAGAATTTAACACAGGCTTCTTCAATCAGACAGTCAAGTAGACTTAAAACAATGCATCATGATTGAGTTTTCTCATTTTTGTTGCTTGATATTCCTTTCTTGTGGTAGTATCTATGTTAATGATTGCCTTGATTTGACCATGTAGCCACTATCACATTAAGATGTGAAATTTGTTTATCAAAGAATGTTATCAGTTGTTTATAATTGTGTTGACTGATCTGTTTGGTTTGCTACCTGTAATATGTTGAAAATGAAATCAGCGCTTCCAAAGCAGCATATGGCATGGCAAGATTGACTATAATTTATTTCATTCGGTTTCATTTGTAAAATGATTGATACTAAGTCTTTTAAGGTAGTGCGTATCATTAGAAATATAGAAATTGAGTTGTGAAAGCTTAATGAGTGATAGTCAAGATCACCTTGCATGTTGACATCAGCATCAAGCTCTGTATCAGTTGAAAAATTAATTAAAAACTCAGAAATGTGTTGCCTGCATTGAAAATGATTTTGTGCAGTCAGGGGCTGATCATTAGTCTTTTGAAGTCCTTATATAAAGAGTCCAATAACAAACAGGCAGTTATATATATATATATGCAGCACAAATAGAAATATTAACCTACACATCAGTCTCATTAGTCCTGCTGGAGCTTCTCACTGGAGGGCTCACAGCTGGAAGGCTGTGCTAATGAGACCTGGACAGTCATTTATCAAGGTCAAATTGCAAAAATGCCCTGCGCTATTCTCAAAATTGCATGTCAAAACAGCATTTAGGCCTATAATGGCATTAACTGTTTTCTAATCTGTTCCAGTGTGTAGTTTTTTTCCCTGATAAATGTGAATGTGTCAGAGCTATAATGAAAGAAATCTCAAATAAATATTGTTTGAGAACATCATTTATAATATGTCTAATAAATAAACCGCAAGGTATGTGAGGAATTGTGGTTATACTAAAGGCCATCTCAACATGCATGATTTAGTAAAAAAATAAAAATTGCACTCACCAGGAAAAATTCCAGACAACTATGTTTTTATGGCAAATATAAAGAAATGCAAGTATATAAATACTAGACCTTGAAAATGGAATCTGCACAGTGTTGAGACTGTTAGTTTGGAAATGTAATAAGTTACAGACTACAAGTTACCCTATTTAATAAGTAGTGTAACTATTTCAATCACTTTATTAATGTAACTAATTACATTTCATGATGTTTCTAAATTTCCAACAAATGTTTTCAACTGTTAATCATTTTAAAGGGGTCCTATTATGCTTTTTCACTTTTTCAACTTTAGTTAGTCTGTAATGTTGCTGTTTGAGCATAAAAAAGATCTGCAAAGTTCAAAGTCCACTTCAAAAGGAGATATTTTATTTACCGGAAATCACTTTTCAAAAACTACAACAAACGACTCGTTTGGACTACAACGCATATTTTCCGGGATTTGTGATATCACAAATATCGACGAATGGGACGAGACCTGGTTGAGCTGCACTAGAGAAGGCAACGAGTGTTATCACTATATCGGAGACACGCTAGCTTTCCCAAGGCAGACGAACTTAGAGTGGTTACAATCATCCGGGTTTAAATCGTGCTCAAATTGATTTGATATTGAGCAATATTTACACTGAAGCTCGCAGGCGGCTGTGGCAAGGAGCGTGACATTTCCCAACCAGGCGCCGAGTGCTGCCAATCACAACACACACTGGCCCAGCTAACCAATCACAGCACATTTCGTCTTTCAGAAGGCGGGCCTTCATTTGATCCAGGAACTATTCGAGACG